TGTTTATTGTAGCAGAAGTGTCTCTTGTTAAGTGAGTGTAAATCCTTTTCTGATGGTCATTCATTCTCACACTCTTATGTGTTATTAAAACTATTGCAGTGCTGATTTTGTTTTGTTAAATGTGGCCTGTCCTTTTAAGTGCTGAGGTAGCATCTGTTACTCACTGTGTTGGGATTGTCACTTAGTAGCTATCTTTGTGTGCTTGCATCTCTATGTTTGCATTTACATTACAGTATATGATATTTTAGGAATATTTATTTATTTAGCATTTAATAATAGTGCTAAAAAATACGTCCTTGAATGCCTGCAAATCTGGTACAAATTAGGGAGCACAGTTCAAATTTCCCCACACAGTGCTGGCAAGTGGCCTCAATCAGAAGTAATTTTCTCCATGAAGGCACATGCAGCTCACTCTTCAGCCTCTCCTCAGTGGATACTGTTATTTGTATCAAATTCTATGTGGTGGTTTCTCAAAGTGGACTACTGTGTCCACTAAGCCATACAGATTTCTACCCCACGTTGACTATTTCATTGCTGTCACTAGTTGTACTGTTTTCTACTGTGTCTTGTTTATCTCTGCCGTTTGCAAAAAGAGTTGAGATTTGTGTTCATATCAATACTCATGGAGTAAGTACTGAGTAAGCAAACTGCTCAACCCCTCTAAATCCTCTGTTGTACACAACATGATTATTTGTTCATTTTATAAAGGAAAAAGTTTTTTTCAGGGCTTCGTGCAAAATACAGAATGAGTTAATAGAGACTTAATTTGTCTCAAATTAAAGTACCCCCATTTAAGATTAGAAATTGGGGTTTTACCTAGTGTGATTGGGAATCCTTAACTATTCATCATTATCTAGCTAATCTGAAGTATTTCAGAATCACCTCTCCTTATATTGCATCATGTTCTTTTACAAACTGCTAATAGGAAAAGAATTGCTAAAATGAGAAGACAAACATCTATACTATCTCTGGAATTAACTAGTCATCTAAATTCTTAAACTGCTTAAGTTTGAAATTTTACTGCTTTAATTATTAAAGAGTCTAATCATATCTCAGAGCTGTTTGTTGTCAGATCACTCTGACACACAGGTGAATTTCAGTAGTAGCAATTTTTGGATTTTCATTGCTCTGTCATTATGGCTACTGGCTTTAAAGTCATAATCAGCAGTTATTAAAGGATTTTTCAGCAGAACAGGATGGGACCTTAAACCTGGTCCAGTTGAAATAAAAGTAGACATAGTGCATGTTGTGCCACAAGTACTTAATAACATGATTAGTTTAAGTAATGGGAGTAATACTATTGAATCAAATCAACGGTTTAAAAGAAATGCAGAAGGTAAAGCATGATGCTAAAGTAACTGATTGACCTATATTTGGACTGTTGAAGGTAATATATCAATATAGTAACAACTGGGGGGAAAAAGCACTATCACAGAAAACAGTCGAAAGAAACTCTATTGTTTTAAAACACATTTATTTTTGTCTGTATGACCCAGTAGTTTTAAGTATTTTAAATCAGGTAAGAAGATGCAGTAGCTTTTGTGCAGGTTTTTCCCTAGATAGGAGCTAGTCAGTGTTGATAACCTACCTATAAGTCTTTGAACCAGATAAATTCTTAGTTCTCTAGCTGATGTAATTTACTGGTAGCAGCTAGAGGTTTTTGCTGGCATATGACCAACTCAGGCAAACATAATCCTGCATAGTTAATGTTTTTGCATTTGTCAAGAATATTTAGTTCCATATACTCTTTATTGTGAGATTCTGAAAATGTATTTTTATTTATTGTCTGTTTATGTGTAAGTAATTAGATAAAGTAGTCAAGAACAGAGAATTTACTCTATTTATATTTCCTTGTAATGGCTTTGGATTTTAGTGTTTAACCCACTCTGTGTTTGAGTGGTAATTAAATATGGCCACAGAAATCATCCATTTTGAGTTCCCATGAAACTAGCAATTAAGAAATACCTAATTTTTGATCTTCTTCTTGGGAGTTGGTTTTAGTTAAGTTATTCTTAAAGGAGTTTCTTTAGTTATCAGTTACAATATACCAGCTCTGGGCATGAGCTGAATGTATTTTGACATTTAAAAAATGAAAGACAGCTCAACATGCGTAAGACAGAATTTGTCCCAAAGATCAGGTTGTAGATGGTGAATTGGACAAGGCAGCAGCCACCTGAAACCTAGAAAAATATTTATGCATGGATCCTCCAGCATCAGCAATTGCCATTGCTGGTGTTGGGGCACAGGCTCTGATGCCAGCCCCTGTTAGGTAAAGCTCTGTATTCCTGGATAAACTCCCCTGGGTTTGGTACATGGGCTGCACGTGCAAGGCAAAGCCTGGTGTAGATGCATGCACACCTCTGATCTCCTTGGGATGTCACAGCGTTTATATTTCTATTTGCAAATGCTTGGCCTTGTAACTTTAGGAGATGTTACATACCTGTTCGTACATAGGATATATCTATAGTAGCATTAGTCAGTATTTTTTTTAGTGTAAGATTGATTTAAAAAATAAAGTCCTGGCCTGCAAAATGACAGGGGTTTGAATCAGCGCTGTGGAGCTGGTGTGTACATTGTATTTCTTCTCCTTTCTTGGAAAGAGTGTCAATGGAAATTATAAGGTGTGTTTCCATGACTGCTGCAAATGAAAGCATAGCAACTGAATTTCTGTTCTTTTCCTAATTAACATACAGTGATGATTAGCTTGCTGATTACGTATTGGTGACCTGATCAAACAAACTGGTTTAACATCTAGGAACAGACCTAAATGTCATGTATACATGCCAATTGGATTACTTGCAGGTGAATTGCTTTTGCTGTATTTTGTAAGACACATTGCAAAAGTCAATAACAAAGAGCTATTAATTCAGCAGGAAATAGACTTTCACTGAAAATGCTGGCTGAATTTTAAATTTTTTCCTCAGATTTAAAATACTTGTAAAATTTATTAAGCTTATAGGTGTACTTGAAGTGATGCAAAATATGGTGTTAATACATTTTTATGTGTGTCAAAAAATTATGTTTCCCTAAAATAGCCTATTTTTTCCTAGTTTATTTATCCAGGTGTTACTAGGAGTACACACCAGTAAATGGCTCTACAGGCAATGTCAGCTTTTAATAATAAAATGAAATTTGAGTAGTATTTCTGATAATTTGTGCAGAACCCCTTGTGCTTTCCTTTCATGAGCCTGGACACAAGTAAGGTGCCTGGAGTGCCCATGTTGAGCTGCAGCAGCGTGTGCTTGTGCTTTGTTCTCTGTTCTGTACAGTGCCATAGCCACTCTTCATTCCCTGTGCATATGCAGTTGCTGGATTTTTTCCCAGCATGGCTGGAAGGTGCAATTAACAGTAATGGATACTTTGATAGTGAGAATCTTTATTTCTTCAGCCATAATAATAGCCCCTTATTTTAGGAGCTATATTGTTGAATGACAGCTACTGTTGGTGAGTATGTGTCTACAAAAGTGGGCTCATTTGGTCAGATTCTCAGCTGGCACAGAGAGTCATATTTCCATGAAAGATAGTAAGCTATATTAATTTATGGAATCCCAGCTGGGAATCTCAATCAATTTCAATAAAAAGTAACCATCATATTCATCTGAAGCAAGAATTACACAACCTAGCCTAAAGTGAATTTTGCTGTTTTAATAAATGTAGGTAGTCACTGGTTCGTAATAAATTACTTAAAATTAGAGTGTAGTCAATATTTGATTTCTTTAAAAATTTATTCCTTCCTTTTCACTGAACACAACAGAATCATTTATGTATTGTATCTCAGCATGATAGATTATATAGGAATAGTGTATTTAATACTGTAAAACTATCATATAAATACAAATCACATTTTTTTTCATTAGCTAGCTCGCTTTCATTTTGAAGAAGAAATACTCAGTCAATTATAAATGAGGCTGTGCTTTCATTGGAGAGTGAAATACGTAATTTTTTTCAAGCCTCAACCATGTATAATGAAATCTCTCTTTTGAAATCCAGTCTTAAGATGGATTTTGAAACATACTGACATTTAATAAAATCTTTGTTAAATTAAAATATGTTCAGTTATTTCAAATCTCTATTTAAATCTAGGGTGAAATTCTACATCCTGCACAAGAGATGTCTTTAGCAAATAGTTGCTGTTAACAAATGATTTTGAAGTGCGTGTATATAAGAAAGATTTTAATTTTTGCGTATATTCTAATTGGTGACCTTGGTGTTACGTGTTATAATCTGTCTGGTGCTGTGTCTTTGAGAGGATCTGTAGCAGTAATATCTCTAGGTAACTAGAAGAAAAGTCAAAGACCTCAGACTACCATTTCAAATTCAAACTCATGCCCTGTTACTGTAACTAGCTTAAGTTTTTTAGCCCTGGGTGGCTGTTTACCAGGACATCTTTTTGGTCTCTGAGAAATGAATAAATAATCTCTTGGGTCCTGTCCATTGACTGGGAATCTGTTAAATAGTCTGGCATTAGTGATCATGGATACCATCAGGGGCTGGTTGAAGCAAAATAGCAGAATAAGCTGAAGTTTGTGCTGTCAAAACCTTTGTAGTATTTCACTGTTGCCAGTACATTTAATTTTATTAACAAAGCTTGCAAAGGAACATTTTGAGTGCTGTAATTCAGCATCAAAAACAATCACTAGCAAACAAGAGAAAGCTCTTCACTGTTTATGTCGTTTTACAAATACAGCTTTGATTTCAGCTGTTAAAACTGTCTGTGTTTAATAGTAGAGCCCAATGAATAATGAAAAACCCCCATGCGTGAGTATTATTAATACATATTATTAATGACAGTTTGCATATTCTGATTTGAAGTCATCAGGAAAAGTCACTTTCAATTTCAATTTCCATAAAATGGTGTTTGTCCAATTCTAATAAATGCTGAACACAGCTGTGAAAGGAAAAAAACTAGCTAAAGAATGCCAGTTAAAAGTTCTCTGAGGTTTTATTTCACATTGTCCTGTTAGATGGTTTTGCCACAGTGTCCCTGATTCTTTTTTAAGGGCCCCTTGAAGATGCCACTGAGGATGAAGAAGAAGAGTGCCTGTCTGAGGAAAATGATACTATCTCAAAAGAAGACTTTCCATTGGAGGAAAGCTTTTCTGCAGAGTTTGAGCCTGAAAATCTGAGCTGTGAAGAAGTGGAATACTTTTGTAATAAAGGTAATCATTGTAGCCAGCCTCTTGAGAGAATACTGTCCAAATTTTGTCCAATTGGTCAAAGAGTTTTTTTTGGTTTAAAATGTACAAAAAGCCCTATCAATGCTACCTTAAAAACAGGAAAATGAGTCACTTGTGAAATTAAGCCTGGTAAGGGATAAATATTTAAGTATGTTGAAGGACACTTCAGGGACATGAATCATCTTGCCATAATGTTTTCCTCCAAGTGTTATTTTCTACATATTTAACTGTAGAGAACAGGCCCCAGAAGTCAATTATTATCAGATCTGAAGCTAGCAATGCAGCATGTCTGTTCATTGCTTCCCTGCCTAGGAAACATGGCTAGGAAAACAGATTGCATCTGTAGATTCTTGGATTAAAATAGAGCTTATTACAGAATTTATTTTGCACAGTAGAAAACTAGTGATTTGTGAAAGAATAACTTCTGAAGTTGCAAACACCTTTTTGGTGCACTTGTTACTTGGGAATTACTGAAGACTGAGGTATTTTAACATGAGACTCGCCAATTCATTCTTACCAGTTCTGTCTGCAAGGTTGTGCTGCTTCCCAGTCAGCTGGCAGACAAACACACTATTGTTATTTAGAACATTAAATAACCTTCTTCCTGTCAGATATCCACTTGATTGCTTTATTATTTGTCTTCTGCAGGTAAGGATGCCTATCAAATAGCTGAAATTGTTGTGGTGGTGTTCTGTTAGTCCACAAGTCCCTCGGGCATTTGGATGTTGATGGTTTCTCTGTCTTTCTGTTCTTTCCTGGACATTGACATATATTTTCTCTTGATAACTTGATGCGCTTCTGGTTTTGTATTATTTTCATCTGTCTTGGACAAAGTCAAATAAATCTGTTGGACGAGTCAAGTGTTCTGACTGCAGAGTATTAGTCCTTCCTAGAGAGTCTTCAGTGACAAAGGCATTACAATGTATTTTCTGTATATCCTAGTAAGTCACCCTAAGATATCAAAACAGTCTAATCCATAGTTTGGAGTTCAGCATCTACAAATCTTATTGTGGGGAGAGACCAGATTATCAATAGATTCTTTACAAGCAGGAAGAATTTAGTACTACTACAAATGTGGTGTGAACAAATACCACAATTACTTTGTGTTCACTGGTTCACATGCCTTTTGGACACCATTTTCCTTAGCTGGAAAAAAGCACTCATCCTGTTATTGGCAGTACTAAATAAATATTGAAACCACTATCTACATAATTGTTATACTGGTGTCTCTTGAATTTCTCATGTCAGCAGTGGAATACTATGTCCCACTATTAGTTCATATCATATCAGTTTGATTTAGTTATCTCTCTGTATTTCTAACTGCATTTCCAGGACTTACCAGTGGAAAGTACTGTGGTTTTAGATTAAATCAAGAAAAAAAATTATTAAAAAAAAAATAGCAATCAATATTGCAAATTTACACTGAATTTCAATTTATCTTAGATCCACCCTTTAAATAAACACATCTTTGAGGGAAATCACTGAATCCAGGATGTTGTATTAAAGAAGATCAGGCATCAAATGGGAATACATTTAAATATGAATTTTGATTATCTTGATTATATGTTTTATTAAGGACATCTGCTGATTCTTCAGGCTAAGTACCTTCTGACTTCCCAGCAGTTTGTGTGTTGTAGTTACAAAAGAATCTTAAGTCTCTCCAGTGCAATTGCTGCGGAAGAAGAGTTGAAAAGGAGATTTCTAAGGATCAAGGGGAACATAAAATTTGTAATCTACCTCCAGCTGAGGCACTGTGACAAAAAGTCCCACTTTGAAGCAAATTGGGAATCTCCCTGGAAAAGGATGGAATGGGAGACTGGAAATGTGCTGGGTTTTTATTAATGTCTTGACTTCTGTTGAATGTCCAACTTCTTCAGGGTCACATCTTAAATGTCATTAGCATGAGGCCGCCTATGTTTTCTTGAAGATAAACCCTAAGAAGAAAAAACTAATCTGGAAAGCAAATAAATTTCTTTTGTGTTCTTTTCTTAGTGGAAGGGTTTGTGACTCTATTATATAGTAAATATAAAAAATTAGACTAATTCTCATTTTTTTTATGAATCTGTTAAGAATTCATAGCCTTTTGTTTTTCTTTGTAGAGCTTCAGTATTGAAATTAAAAGATAGTATGAGAAATAAGCTTTTCTTTTTTTACTAGAAATACTTTTTTAACATCATGAGTGAAAAGTCATCATGAAAATGAAAAAACATGAAAGTGAGATGTGTACCAAATAAGTTAGAGAACAAATAAAGGCAATCTAATTTCTGTTTTGGAGGCCTGACTTTTGATTTTTCTTCTGCTCTTTGACAGTATTGGCAGCCTGTAAATCATAAGTATTTCCAGATAAGGGAAAAGTAAGTGTAGATCTGTGTTTTCTCATGCAACAGGTTGCCTTTTTACAGAAATATATCAGAACTGGCATGGGAATCCATTATGCTGTCTCTGAATTCTGCCCTTGCTAGCATGGACCATTAATGGTTTTAGAAAGTAAAGGTGTTTTCTTGGATATAAATTTTATGTGTCCTGTCTCCCTATTTCCCTCCCCTGGGGTTTCTTCCCAGCTGACCCAGAACAAGAGGACAAATGAGTAGCGGGGCTTCCTGCAAGAATCAAGAGGCATGGGGAACAAGTGACACAGCTGTTGGGGAGGAGGTGTTTGTGAGGCTTCATCCATGGTATGTTTTTTATACTTACCCAGCTCTGTAAATTCAACTGCCACCTAAAACCAGGGGCTTTTTGCTATACAAACTAGGTACTGAAGGCAAAAAATTTACTGAGGTCACAATTCATTTTGAGGAATGAGAATAGAGAACTTATAGGTTCACAACTTGGTAACTTTGGCTTCTTGAAGAGATTTTCTGGTCAAGCTGTGCCTGATGGTATTGTAAGCAGAGAGCAGTCCCTTACTGTCTAAATTGCAAACAGAAACCTTTATAAAGCCATACTTGTCATTTCCATCTTATTAATTTAGGTTTGTGAGATAGATACAGCAGAATAGTTGCCAGAATAAGAAGGTGAAGGCGAAAGCCTCTGCAAAGTGTGAAGCAAATTAATCACGTTGATTGAGCTACATGTCATTTTACAACTTCTCCATTTTCAAAATTTTGACTCTCCACTATTACTTTTCCCTTCTCCTTTTGCTCACTAATGGCTTTTATGACAAGGAATCTGGAAAGTTCCTCCTCTCCCACACTTCTGCAGTACCACAAAATTAACTGCTGCATGTGGATATTTATTCCTATGTGGTCTAAGTGAAGAATTGAACAATGATTAAAGCTGAAATAGGAATTACCAACCTACTATTTGTCAGGGATTCCTTTAAGCTTCCAGCTCTGTTTTTTTTAACCTTTTGGATGAAGAGCTTCATAATTGATGGCAGTTAAGTTTGATTTGTTTGCAGTTTTGACAGTGAGATTAGGAGAAAAGGAGTATTTTGGAAATAGGATAGTGGTGTTCTATTACAAATCTGCGCTGATGTCTATGTTTGAAGTAGAAACAAAAACTTTGTATAAGGTAGCCTTGATGATAGTGCATTGCATTTTGGTGGTTTGAAAACCACCTTGAAAACTGCTGTTTATTTTTAGTTACTACAAATGGGTGTACAGCCAATAAAGAGGGTATCTGATGATGCTGTCCACACGAAGACTTTATTAGCTGGAATTTCCCTTGCTGAATATTTTTTTAATCAGTGGGCGTCTGGAATCAGAGTCTGTTTCAGATTAAGAATAATTCAGATTAAGTTCAGATGTAGAAAATTTATTACTAAATGTCAGTATTTCAACAGTCTGTGTATGGAGAAGATAGCCTGTCTCCCATGAAGAACAGGGATAAGGCTGGATTTGGGAGCTAGGGGATAAGACATAAAGATTAAATTTTGTCTACTGCAGGTTGGAATAACAAAGTAATGTGATGCTAAAAGAGGTGAGAAGAAGTATGCTAATAATTGCAGAAGGGCAGATAGAAGCGGGGGAAAACAACAATAATACAAAGGCCAAGTTGAAGGCGATGGGGTGAAAATCAGTTTTAAATCAAGATTATTTGTGAGGTGAAGTAGTTTATACTTAGTTTTCTAGTCTCTGATTGCAGTCATCTTGCCTAGATATCCTCAGGAAAAATAAAAATAAAGTTCTTGTCTGTTACTTGGAAAGTTTGCTATGCTCATATGCTGACATGTTTTACTCACTGTAAACAGGAAGGAGAATAGGAGCCTTGGTGGCTTTTGATAGTGGTGGTAACTGGCTAAACAAACTACATTTTCTTGTGACCTTCCTAGCAGAAGTGTTCAATGAGGGTTTAACTTTCAAAGGAAAATTATCTTAAGCAATATGAGAGATCATTTGAGATTAGTAGATAGTTAAGTAGCTGTGTTCACAGAAGGAAAGAGGCAAGAGAAGAAAATGGAGGAGGTTTATAATAAAAAGAGCAAATGTTGGACTGTTGCCAGAAGAAGGAGGCAAATGAAGGAATGTCCATATCTGATAATTAGGAGAAAAAGGCAGGTTCATTTCTTGCTGCTTGCCAAGACCATTGTGTCAAATTCTCCTGTTCATTGCTTGTAGTATGACTATTGCGCTTGTTCCTCGAGTTTTAGGTGTTCCATGGTTACTTCATCCCATGGCAGCATTGGCACCAGCCCTCAGTGGAAGGAGATTCAGTGGCCTTAAACTCCTGGTGGCAGAAGCAAGTGGCTTCTGCTTCCCAATGTTAACTCTGCTTCAGTTGATGACATAGGGTGACAGGGAGGATACATGAGGTGGGATGGAGAGTGATTGTTTCAGGATGCAGGGATTTTATGATCTGTAGCACACACTGCTATGTATGTCTGCAGCGATGTGTGTTTGCAGCTGGTTGAGTGGTTCGGGTTCCTGATACATTGGTTATCTTTATTTGTGGGGGAAGAGGAAAATGAGGGGAATCCAGTGCAGTTAGAAACTCACATACAGTTCTAAGTCAGCAAGAAGGAAACACGGGGAATAAATGGC